GTTGAGAAACACTGGCATAAAGGAATCCACAGAGAATAAAGGATCCTTAGCTTCAGAACAAATGTGCTTGATTATGTTTGCCCTGGGACATTTGGAGGACGGGGTCAAAATCTGCAAGGTGGCGGCCGCGGCATGGAAGCCCCGCCCTTTTTGTACATGGGTGCATCCTCTGCGATACCCATAAAAGGCCAGGCTTTAATGGTGTGGGTTGCAGCCATCGTTTTGATTGTCTTCACCACCCCTGCAAAAGAAAAAGACCTACGGTGGGCCTGATTAGCTGTGCAGAAATGTCTGGCACAACACCAGCTCTGGGGAGTGGGGAGGGACTGCTTGCCTTGGCTCCTAGGAACCCCCAAGTCCCAGGCTGGATCCCTTCGCCTCCTGCAGGGCGAGCCAAGCAGCCTGCTCAGCCCCACAGCAGAAGGGCTGGATGAAGCCCCAGCCCTGGGACAGCCCAACACCCATCCAGTCTGGGCGAGTAGCCACTACCCCGCTGCTCTCTGTGCCAATAATTGCCTGGGATGCATTTCAGGGACCTCTGCCCTCTCCCGCATTCTGGCACACGGGTAGGTTTAAGTCTGCCAGTCTCTGAAATGCTTGGGGGGGGGGATTCATTCTCCCTTGTGCCTGCGGGCAAAACGAGAACCCATGGAAGCTCTGCAGAGGGAGACCTGTCTGCAAAGGAGGAGGACTGTCTGGCCGTGAGAGGCGGGAAGCGGCGGACCAGCCTCCTGCCTGGCATCACGGGCGCTCTGTCCCTGGAGGGTGCCAAGGAAAGGCCGGACAGCCCTTTGTCCGGATGGGCTGAAGATCCCTGTGCTGGGCTGTGGGCTGGACTGGATGTCCTCCATGGTCCCTTCCCTTCCTATAAGGAAAAACTTCCTCACGGTCAAGTCTGTGCACCAGCAGCGGGTTTTCCATCTCGGAAGGGTCTTCCGAAGAGGGGGGGCAGCCACCGGGCAGGGACGGGTGGGTCGTCTTGCCCGGTGCGGAGGGCTGAAGTAGATGGTCTTTGGGGTCCCTTCCGATGCTACAGTTGGTTCTGCTTCTATCTCGCTTTCCTCCTCTTCCGGCCTTCTGGTTACTGATGCTCTTCACTTTCTCTCATGATTCTTAATGATTAATGCCTTGCTCCGACCGCAGCGTGGTTATCAACCAGCGCCGCCCCCTCCACGGCCCGCCTGG